GGATCAGATATTAAATAATTAAACTGATCAGATAACAGATACTACACTTGATCTATTTTTAGCCAAAAGGCGGAGAAAAGTTGTACCTTTCTCGGCCTTTTGGCTAATTTTCTCGGCCTTTTGGCTAAAAATAGATCAAGTGTAGTATCTGTTCTGATCATGGCGGTGTATCTTTCCGTGTTCTAGAGGAAGATTCACTCCCACTTTGCACATTTCGAGAGTAGCGGAGCAAGGCCCTATATCTGATCCTTGGTCCATTGGGCCATTAACCAACTTTCTCCATTCCTTCCCGACTTTTGAAAAACATTTGAAAATGATCAGAAATTATCAGAAATATCACATCTTATTTTTCTACCTCAATGATGTTTTTTTTTCCCTTTTTTCCAATTAAATTCAGGCCCTTACGGTTGTAGCAGACCTAGCCCTTTTCGATCCCAGGGAGCGCCATCCCAGTTCCTTTTCTACAAGCAAGTCAAAACTTAAACCACCAGTACCCCAGGGGGTCTTAGGCCCCCTCTGATGCAAATGCATATGGACCCGAACGGCGCACCGATTCAGCCTCCGCGTTAACGCCTAAAAACGTGGTAGGTACTCGTGGTTTAAAGAGCTATGACAAACACTGGACATCAATGCTTCCTTCGGTTGAGGCCGAATGAACCCCTTAAACGGCCAGTGTGTTTCCCCCAGCTATTTTGTTTCAACGAGCCGGTTAACCCGTCGCGAAACTGCAGGTCAGCCTACCAGACGGAAATGACTGGAGTCGTGAGGCAAATCACGTGCCATGTCAGTTCGGCAGGAATTGGCGCACAGCAAAAATTTGCATTAGGAAAAAGAGGCTCGGACGCAATGGTGGTTTAACAGCATATTGATTACTCCTTAGGGGGAAGATGGACTCCCACCAGGTATGCCTCCACTTTCTTCCTTCCTTCCTTCCTTCCTTGCGTTTGTCTACATGAATTCCTAGAATCTCTACATGCTGCCTCATTGTTTATGAATGCTATGTTGACTATTTTACGGAAAGAAACAAAAAGAGTCGTGGGGACTGATAGTTTCAGTCGACTTCAACAACTCCTATCAGGACCTTAAACCCGATCGCAGCACCCTTTCCGGAGTCCCTCCTCGAATCCCGTTGCTGAGTCCTCCCCGACCTCACCGTGCTGAGTTCCCCTGCCGTGAGTGAACTTTTCTGCGTCCCAAGTCCCCCTCGCTGAATCGCCCCCGCCAAGTACCCTCCCGAGTCCTTTTGTTGGTGCCCCCTACTTAACCCTGGCTGCTAAGTCCCCCCTGCCAAGTTCCCTCGCCACGTCTCCCTGCCCCCGCTACCGAACCCTGCCCGCTTAAGTTCCCCGGCAGAGTATCCCTGCTAAGTACCTCTATGGACAACCGGGCCTTGCTGAGTCCCTCTGCTGAGTCCCACTGCTGAAGTGCCCCGCTAACGGCACTAAGTTCTTCCTGTCCCTCTACTGAACCCTGCCTGCTAAGTCCCCCTGCCGAGTCTCCCTGCTAAGTCCCTCTGTTGAGGACCCTTGCTGAGTTCCTCTGTTGAGTCCAATTGCTGAGGTGCCCTGCTAAGTCCTGCGGTTGACTCCCCCCCCCCCCACTGAGTGCCCTGACGAGAACCCCCGGAATTCCATTTCCCAGTCCCCCTGCTGCCAACCCCTGCTAAGTCCCCTGCTGAGTCCTCCCCTTTCCAATCCCTCCGCTGATTTGACTACTCCTGTCCAATCGCTCTGCTCTGTCTTTCTGTTGAGCCCCCCTGTTAAGCCCCTTGTTTCCAGTCCTCCCACTGAGTGCCCCTATATAATCTCGCTTTTTATTTCCCTGTTGAACCCTTCTGTTCAGTCCCCCCTCCTCGTCCCTGCTCAGTTGCCTTCGGATTGAGACGCACGGCAAGGCCATGTCTCCAGCTTGAAACCCAAATAAGTGTCAGACTACCTAGCCCACATGGCTGAATGGTACACACATGTAGTTCGTATGCTGATTGAATCAGATGGATATAACGGCGTTAGGGGGCTACATCCTTTGGGGAAAGAAGAAAAAATGGAGCTTAAGAATGAACCGGTAAAGGCGAGAGGAATCACGAGACCGGAGAGGGTGTACACGGTGGAACGGGTCTTGGCAGGAGGGGAGCTTGAGGTCACGGAGTGCCGGGGCACATCGGGATATGAAGGATTGGGCGAACCCCTGCGAGAGAGGGGGCACGCAAGGGAGGTTCTCCCCAAAGAACCTAGCAAGAGGTGTTGCAGAAACAGTGACATTCCAAGGGAGAAGGGCAATGATTGCCATTCCGGGTGGCATACAGGAAGCGAGACCTGACAATGAGACCCGGTGGAGCGGAGTGGGAATGGCCAACTCAAGGGAAGCAGAGGAAAATGGTGCAACTCCAAGACTTGACCACACAAAAGTTAGGATTTCCTTGTTCTTTAGACATTTTATACTTAAAATCTCTTTTTAATCGAAATTTTTTGTTTTTTGTTATAGAACTAAAAAAAAAAAAAGAAAAAAAAAAGTATGTAAATACGAATGCTGGGGCAAGGTGAGCGTTAGCAGTTACGGATTACTTAATATTAGTAGTATAGTACACGGTGGTAACAAGGGCTTGATGAGGTTATGGGGTTCATAGCTAGGCTACCAGCCGGGCCGCCCGGGTCCAGGGTGGCCAGCCCATGCAAGGACAAGGGAAGGTCCCAGCAAAAAAAAAAAAAAAATCCAAAAATCCGAAAAAACAACTATGTTATGCAGAAAAATAAACTGAACAACTTTTGCCTCAGGGTCACATCGAAATTCTTTACCAAATTAAAAATATAAAATAAAATTCTAAAATATTTATTTTTTATTTTTTATTTTTTATTATCTTTTCGGCCCGGCCGGGCAAGTGACCCCGCGCCACTCTGGTAGCCTAGGCTCATAGTAGAATAGAGCGAGATCATGAGGGGTAGAAATAACAACGTGAAGAAGGATGCTGCAAGGAACCTGTTCGTTCGTCACTTGCTGGAGTGTATCAGTTAACATGCATGTAACATAGATCTCACAGATTTGTAATGTCCCTCACAAAGTTCAGTGGAAAATGAGTGGAAACCAGGAAGCGCAACTCAATTATCACAATCAGATTAAGGAAAGAGAATCACGAGTTCAAAATGTAAAGCGCCCAACAATATTACAAGTCTTCTTCATCCAACAAGAGTTTCAGGCCTGACGCTCATCAGCGCCAGCAGCCAATCATCAAGAACAGTGCTCAGCAGCTATGTTGCACGCCCGGCCGCGGCCGGGGGCGGGAAATCGGCCGCGGCCTCGGCCGACCAGCCAAGTTCGGTGCAGGATTTTTATTTTTTTTTCTAACGCATGAAAAATATATATATATATATATATATATGGGCGTGTAGCGCTCAAAAAACCCTACGCGCCCATATTTGTTTTGGGGGCATTGTTGTTTTCTATTGCGTAACAAAAAATAAAAACAGAAAAAAGAAAAAGAAAAAAAAAAACGCCTCGAAACCCCGCGCAAGTATGTGTGTGTGTGTGTGTGTGTGTGTGTGTGTGTGTGTGTGTGTGTGTGTGATCGGGCGGGGGTAGGGGGGGTGACCCCTCCCCCAGCAATCAATCAATCAATAAATCAATCAATCAATCAATTAATCAATCGAAAAAGAAAAAAAGAAAAAAAACGAGAAAACGGGTTTTTTAACCTTGCGCAAGTATGTGTGTGTGTGTGTGTGTG